TTTTTGAAAAGCTCAAAATGTTTGAAATAAGAATGCATAATTTCTGTCAATACAGTAAGGAAAGAACCTCTAATAAAGGATTCGCCTCTAAAGTTTGGGGAAAAAAGTAAGCTCCAAATTATAAGCTTTAAGTTATAATATTCTTCTTAGGACAAACAACTGCATAGAATAGACCACTGTTGATATGTTCTGTAAAAGAGCTTTGGGTCTTAAAGTCATTTCAAAATAAGTCTGTGATAGGTCTCATCCCTCTCAGCCCCCAAGAATGAGCTCCTTGTACTGCCTATGATTAAAGTGGACTGCTTATAGTTGCAGGCTATCCTCCCAGGATGGACTTCTTCCGGCTCTGTTGAGATAGTAGAGTATCTTGAACTTGACCTTTGGAAGAAGACTTACATTTATAGCTTTAATGTGGAAGAAACAATAGAGACAAATACAACCTACCTCCAGAGTTTATCAACTCTCTTAAAAATCTCAGGGTGGGGATACCTACACTCCCTGTGCTCAGAGACAAAGGTTAATGATAGGAAGGTGATATCTGGGCCAAGAAGAGATTAAGGACAGTAGTTCTCAAACTGATTGCCAAACTGCTCTGATAGCTGCTGCTGAGGGCTGTGGGCGAATAAGAGATATGTGGCCTGAGAGGAATTCCCCAGGTCTCTCCTCACTTTCAGCCAGTTAGGACAGACTTTCAGTCTTCCTGTATAACAGGTATCAGAGCAGCATTTTATTGAATGGGCTGTTTTCTATGCCCACCTCCCATTTTAATTGGATCCCAAAAAGCAACTGATGGAGAGATGGCTGGGCAGTTAAGAGCACCTGTTGCTCTTGCAGAGGACCCAGGTCCAGTTCGTAGCACTCAGGATGGGCAGTTCACAGCCACCTGTAACTCTCATTCCAGGGCTTCTGATGCCCTCATCTGCCCTCCATAGGCACCTGTTCTCACATGGTATACATACAGATGGTATACATACAGATGAGCAGGCACACACACACACACACACACATATATATATATCTGTATCCACAAATAATTTTTTTACAGCGGCTGAGGCCAGGTGTGGTGGCTTACCTAAAATCCCAGAACTGGGCTGAGGCAGGAGGATTGCCTTTGAAACCACCTCGAGCAACATAGAGATACCTTGCCTCAAAATTGAGCATGTGGGGCATAGCTCAGTGTTAGAATACTTTAAAAAAAAAATTAAAAAAAAAAAAGCAACCGATCCTACTCTGTCCTTTGCATCCTTTGCAGCTGAGACCAGTGAGGTTCAGAAGGGCATATGGACTTCCCCAAGGTCACACTTTGTTTTGACTAAAAGCCATTTCTTGTGTTCCTCCTTTGGAAGCTTGGGCCAGCTGCCAGATCTGCTGGACATTTGCTTTTCTGCTGTCTGGATTGGTTCTTCTTAACATCCAGCCACACAGACCTGGGTGCATTTCCTTAGCATTTAGGACTCCTGTGTGCGTGTTTAGCAAACAGCGCTGCTCAGGTATTCAGAACAGAGGTAAGTCAAGAAATCTCTACATCCAGGCCACTAGCTGTTTTCAAACCTAATGTTCCTTCTCTTTGGCATTCACTAATTAATGGCAGCCTTGCAGAAGACCACAGGCACTCTACTATTTGCAAACCAGGCCAGCTCCCTCCCCACAGCTGAAGCCCAAATGTGGGAGAATGTGGCCATACATTTGAGAATGTATGGCGGGACAGGGAAAATGAGATTAGGGGACTGAGATCACACACACACACACACACACACACACACACACACACATCACTATGAAAACACAAGAAAATACAAGTAATTCATAAGATACACTAATGAGAAAATCAATGACATTTTGCAACCCAGAGTTAATGGCTGTGTGGGTAATTTCCATTTCATCACTCTTGTTTACCAGACGGTCTCCATTTGGCTATGTGACAGCTGAGATGTGTACTAAAAAGCATTTGGCTTTTGTTTTAATAGCAGAAGAGGGCATAGCAAATGTTTGAAAGTGGAAGGAGCAAAAAAAGTCACAGTATAGAAACCACAGGCCAAGGATGGGCCTTCAAATCGTTTCAAGAGAGGCTGTCTGTCCACCTACGTGTTCAGTGCTTTCTTGCCCTTTTCTGTAAGGTGCTTTCTAATTGTTGTCACCTAAACAAGTGTCCTGCAAACTCTGCCCCAGCACTTGGACCAGCTGGGAACATGGAGGTAGACTTCTGGGACTTGGACGTGTTTCTCTTGGCTGTTAATCTTCTCATCCATTTCTGATTCTAACCCTTGCTCTTGTCTCTCTAGTGGTTTCCAATGAGACCAACACACATCCAGGAAATGAAATTCTGGTTCTTTCCTAGGCTATATTGAAATCATACACACAGTTTCCTACAAGAAAAATGAAGGTTGTTTTTTTTAATCTTTGTGTGTGTGTGCAGGTTTGTGTGTATGAGTAAGCATGGATGTGTGCCATGGTGTACTTGTGGAGGAACCTCAAGCACCTGTCCTTGCCTTCCATCTTGTTTGAGACACAGTCTCTTGTTCACTGTTGCAAACAACAAACTTCTGGGAGAGTCTCCTGTTTCTGCCTTCCATCTTGCCATAGCAGTGCTGGGATTACAGACACTCATTGCTGCATCCTGCTTTACATGGGTTCTAGGGATACTAACTCAAGTCCTCACAGCAGCAAACACTTTATACACTGAACTGTCTCCCTAGTCTAGAAACTCAGATTCTCTTTGTAAAAAGATACGCGTTTAACACTTTACCTGGGTATTTATAATCCCCATGAATTAGCAGTGATAAAAATTGGCTCTCGAATTATTTAATCATGTATCCAGAGATGTTGCTTAAGAAATCCTTTTGTATGCTGCCTTTTTTGTTTAGGGAGGTAGCTGTACTGCCATTCTCCCTACACTGATTTAGAAGTAAATTTTACCACCAATGAGCCAGCACTATCCCCTTTTAGCTTATAGGATGTGCTGCTGTTACCTCTAACCACACCTAGGGATAGCCTTATGCACTCTTGGCTTAAGATTGGCTTTTCAAACTTACTGTGACTGGTTCTGATAAATCTAGATCCACTTCTGGTTCAAAAGTGGAGTATGGACCACGCCCCGAGATCACAGAGTGCAGTGGGGGGAGACAGAGATGCTGGAGTAAAATCCAGAACCTCTGCTAGATAAAAAGACAGGACTGCCTGTTTGGTAGGCGACCAACAGCATAGGTATAGTTATATTCTTACAGTTTCCAAGGTCATCTTTTTTTAATATGTTAAATGTGAAACTATTTTTGGCCTTTTTCAAAGTGTTCAAAGCAATATTGGTTCTTTAAAAATATACTTCCTCCAAGCCAGACATGGTGGCGCACGCCTGTTGTCCCAGCACTTGGAAGGCAGAGGCAGGTGGATCTCTGTGAGTTCAAGCCCAGCCTGGTCTACAAAGTGAGTTCCAGGACAGCTGGGGCTACAGGGAGACCCTGTTTCAAAAAGACAATATATCATTGAAAGACATAATATATATACATATATATATATATATGTATATATATATATATATCTCCTCCAAATTATCCTCTCCAGTGCCCCACAGCAGATAAAAGTTCCTACTGTGACTGCTTTTCAGATTATTCCTAATTCCCAGTGTACCTGCTGGACTTCACGAGCTTGGGATGAATCTGGCCAGAATAAATATATACTGCTTTTTCCCTAAATTCTCCCAGAATTCAAAGACCTCAGACCTGGCATTCTCTCCCCACATCCAGGACCCCACTCAGTGCCCGACCACTCTGGATCTCCCTCAAGTTTCTAGCCTCTGTATACACAGGAAAGAGAAGCATTTTTCTTGGATGTGTGGGGTTTTTCGTGTGGCTTCTCTTGGTACTTCTGTCTTTGATGCTAATACTTAATTTAAAAAATAATCTTCATCGCTATTATGAGATATAAAATGTATTTATCAAATCTGTAATCATTATGCCAAAAAATCTGAATTACTGTAATATTTTGTATATTGTTAAAACTGTAACTTTAATTGTAAAAAAAAAATAAAAAAAAATACTAATGTCTTCTATGCTTTTGTGCACAAGTTGGGATTGCTAGACATTCAGCAATGGTGCTGGCTAACTGTACTGAGGCCACAGGAACAGGAGGAGGCAGTGCCCTGGCAATTGAAGGGTGTAGGTTTGGAGGAGGGTTTTTTATGTTGCCCGTAGCTATGTGCTGAAAGAACTCATGGACTCTTCTGACTTTTGTCTTTCAGGCTTATGTAGAGAAGTATGTTGTGAAGAACTATTTCTACTATTACCTGTTCCGATTTTCAGCTGCTTTGGGTCAAGAAGTATTCTACATCACTTTTCTCCCATTCATGCACTGGAACATTGATCCTTATTTGTCCAGAAGATTGGTCATGATATGGGTTGTAAGTATTTTACTATTACTTAATGGTCACCGCTACTTCTAAGACAACTGCCCATGTTGGTATTCAAGTACTTTGCACATGCATTCTTTCTTTTTAAAACCACTTAGAGGAGAATGTGTTGCCTAGTCTACTTTAGAAAAAGTAAATATCATCACAACTTATTCTGTTTGCAAAAAACAGACCAACCTGTACCTTGACGTGCCTGTTTTCACAAACTAGAAGACAGGAGAGGTGGTAAGCAGAGAACAAAGGGGCCTTATAAGCCCTGTGGGGATGGGAACACATTCTCCCCAGAGGCCATTTTAGTAAAACTTGGTCAAAATCAAACTAGTGGCTATAGACCAATAATTCCAAAGGTGTTTTATTTTGGAAAATTTAGACAAGCATTTTGTTAAGTGAGCTGAAAAATATCAATCAAATGAATCTGTTTTCCTTTTCTATTTGATTAAAGTTTATTTGGGTGGGGGGGGGCAGTGAGACAGGATTTCCCTATAGCCCCAGCTGACCTGGAACTCCCTAAGTAGATCAGGCTGGGCTTGAACTCACAGAAATTCTCCTGTCTCCCGAGTGCTGGGATTGAAGGCATATGCCACGACACTCAGCTCAATGAAAGGACTTTAACCTGTCCGTGGGCTCAAAGGCATTTTAGAGGGAGAGACAGGAAAGTCTGTAACTGTGTTGCCTGATTAGAATTTCCACAAGGAGAGGTAGATGGGACTTGAGAAAGTCAGCCACCATCTAAAATGTGAGCCTCTGTGCTCTTGACTGACATTTGGGTATGGTGACATTTTTTCCAAAGATATTTCATGGTGTTTGTTGAAAGGGGAAAAATTGATAAGTCTATACAAATCAAAATTGGGGGGAATATAGATAGAAAAAAAAAAAAAAAGATGAGAGCCCAGACTGGCTTTAATATAGCATGCAGGTTCAAAGATGGCCTTTACCAGAGTTGAGGGTGGAACTCAGTGATGCAAGTGCTTGCCTCACACAGACAAGACCTGGCTCTGAATCCCAGTACCAAATAAAGAAGCATTTGCATCTGGATATTCCCTTTATTTAAAAATTATATATATATGACTGGTGAGATGGCTCAGCAGTTAAGAACACGGCCTATTCTTGCAGAAGACCTGGGTTTGTATCCCAGCAGCCACATGGCACCTAACAACTGTCCATAACTCCAGAGCCAAGGGATCCAACGGTCTCCTATGTCCTCTGTGGGCATTGCATGACATGGGTGCACTTACATGCATGCAGGCAATACACATATACACATAAAATAATAAAAAATATTTTTAATTATATTTATTTATTTTATGTGTGTTCATGATGAGAGTGAGCGTACCACAGCACACATGTAAAGATGAGGACAAATTTTGAGTGTTGCTTCTACCTGTGGTTTTTCCTTCTGCTACGTGGGTCCCAGGGATGGAACTCAGCTCATCAGACTTGGCAGCAGGTGCCTCTGCCTGCTGAGCAATCTCGTCAGCCCTGTTCCCTTTCATTTAGGTATAGACCTCACCCCTCTTGTCTTGCCCTTTGTGATTTCCTGCCTCTCTTTTAGCCATTTGGGTTTGCAAGTCCTGTCTTCTGGCACTTAATGTTTTTGGCCTTCAGTTTTCCTTCCCTAAAGCGGCTTGCTCAGAGGGGACCAGCTTTTGGGAAACTTGGTACTTGCTGTTTGAATTCCACTTCAACTAAAATTTATCTTTGTGGTTTTCCTTGACCTTTTCCCCCCATTTTAATATAGCCATTATGGGAATCAGTTTAACAGTTCCCAAAAATAAAAAAATAAAGATAGAATTGCCATATGACCCAGCTATTTCACTCCTGGGCATATACCCAGAAAACGCCATACCTTACCACAGATTTTTGTACCCCATATTTATTGCTGTTCTACTCATTATAGCAACAAAACGGAACCAGCCTAGTTGTCCATGAACTGATGGCTGGTTAATGAAAATATAGTGCATATATAAAGTGGAATATTGTTCATCTCTAAAGGAAAACGAAATCACAAAATCCACAAGGAAAATGGATGAATCGAGAATGTATTATATCAAGTGAGGTAACAATCTCAGAAAGAAAAAACAGCTTGCTTTCCTTCATGTGTGGATCCTAGCCTATAATGTATACATGTATATATGTAAACAAATGCACATGCAAGTATACTATAGCATTTAGAAAAGAGAACAAGAAAAGATAATTTTAAAAAGGCACAATATGGGGCTGGAGAGATGGCTCAGTGGTTAAGAGCACTGGCTGTTTCTGCAGAGGACCTGGGTTCAATTCCTAGAACCCATATGGTCATTAACAACTGTTTGTAACTCCAGTTCCAGGGAATCCGATGCCCCCTTCTGACCTCTGTAGGCATTGCACTTGCATACATGCAGGCACTATACACTCCTACACATAAAATAAAAATAATAAATAAAATATTAAAATAAATGAATAAAAATGCACACTAATGAGTTTATGTATACAGTAGACTTAGTGTAAATCCTTTGAATGTTCTCTCAAGATATTACACATTTTCAGTGCAAAGTAAGTCCTTAAATTGACAGTGTCCACATGTGATTCCATGAAAGGTTATTACCTTATGGAGAAATCTGGATTTAAATTATGTTTTTATTGTTTGAATAGTTCTGTATACTGTAGTTTCTTGTAAGTACTAAGAAACAGAAAAAGACATATTCCTCACTTTTCTAACATGTATGACTTTTTATTTATTTATTATTTATTTATTTATTTTTGGCCTTTTTGAGATAGGGTCTCCCTGTAGCCCCAGCTGTCCTGGAACTCACTATGTAGAGCAGGCTGGCCTTGAACTCACAGAGATCCACCTGTCTCTGCCTCCCAAGTACTGGGATTAAAGGCGTATGCCACCATGCCCAGCCATATGACTTATTTTTAAGTATATGTAATCATAGTCAAACCATTTCACAGTTTTTCTGTGAAATGAAAAACTGTTAGAAATCCTTTCTAAGCAGAACGAGTCTCTCCCCTAATAATTCATGGCTTTTCAATATCTTTCTGCTTAGAAGCACAGAATATCTCTGATGGGAAAAGGAGGTTTTTCTCTACCCCTCCACCCCCAGCAACAGCTTGGAGGCTAGGACAGAGGTCATGGTCCTAAAAGAGCATCTGATTGACTTGACACAGTATGTTTAAGATTCCAGCACCAAAGACCCACTAACCCAGTCAGGAAAGTGGGGTTTGTACTAAGGTTATGAGGAATCTAGAAACCACAGCTTCAAAGGACCCGTGCTAGGGCATGATCTCATGATCAGGTACAACACAGCTGTGACTTATGTCTCCTCTTCTCCTGTCAGCTGGGAATGTTTCTGTCATTTAATTCTAGTTTTCTAGAAAGTCAGGTGCAGCTCACTGTGTAGCCCCATCCCACAACCCCATCCATCTCTGGTCAGGCCCTTAGACTGGTTGTTCTTGGTCCAAATAGCTGTGGCAGGGGTGGGGAGAGATGACTGAATGGGTGCAAGAGACCTGGGTGATGAAAACCAAGAAGTGAAACCTTGTTCAAGGTGATAGTGATTCTAGCCTGCGGTCCCCCCAGATTTAAGATGAAAGGGCACAGCTAGAGATCCCCAGAAGCTTGTCACATGGTCACATGTGTGCTGAGTACATGACACTTAAAAGGAGATTGGTCCATGGTGTGAAGGAGAAAGGAAAAGGTCAGTTGTGTAGAATGCATGCTGCAAGAAAAGTTATCTTGTCTCTTGTAAAGTGCTGCGGTGCCTTGCTTTGTGAAGCCCTTTAGTAGCAAACAGTGCTCTTGAAGTGCACATCAAATCTAGTGCTAAATAATTTGCATGTTTCCTGCTCTTTGTGTGCAGTACAGTTGAAAGCAAACTTTAAAAGAAACTGCTTAACTACTTGGCAAGTATACACCATTTTCATAGATGTCAAAGCTTGTCAATAAGAAGCCAGAAAAGCACAATGTTCCTTCCAGCAGACCTTGGGGTCCTGAGCTTTCATGACAAATTAGCTTAGGATGGAGAGTTCAGCTTAAACTATGTCATTCCCTGTCTGATTATTCTCAGTCAGCTAGCTGATACAGCACAATGCAGATCTAAACCCTACCTGTAAACTGTGCCTACTGTCTTGTTAGGGTCTTGCTGCTATAGGGTTCTGGGTATCTTTTTATAAAGTGATCCCACACATTGGTGTAGCATTGATAACATGTCTAAAGAGATCAGTCTTTTCGGCTATCACCTGCTTGTGTTCATAAAGAGCTTGTCACCTGCTTGCAGAAATGTGGAAGTGTGGAAGGAGGCCTGTACCCCTGGTCTGGGGTCAGCTTTATAGTGCCAAAAGATGACTTGAAATGAGATTATCTCCTAATCCTCTGCTTAAACTGCTACTACCAGTCACTTCAAAAGATTGCCCTGCTTGTTAAATTGGTTCTTGGTTGAGATTAATGAGTCTTAAAGCAGAGCCAACAAAGACTGGATTGAAACCCCCTATAACTTGTGCCCAGTGAAATAGAATTAGGCGTCAGGAATTCTGCCTCTTTCCTCTGAAGTAGAATCTGTAATTTAGCCTTAGTTAAATATTAAGTAAATGTCTCTATGGGGTTGTTAGATTCAGTGTATTGGTTTGGTCTTGACACCTAATAAAGAAAACTGTTGGTTATACTGTAGGTTAACCAAAGAAAAACAAAAAGCCTTAAAACTTGCTAATGCCCTATCAAGAAAAACAATTGAAGTCAAATGTGATGGTTTACCTCTGTAATCCTAGCATTCACGTGGTGAGTTAAATGCATTTGGCTCTCTGTAATTATCACATTATCTGAAAGTGATCCCCCCTCCTTTCTTTTTGTTATGGGCGTATATTCATTGTGCATAGTGTTATGTTTCATAGAGTCATCGTCATGAAAATATTTAATGTACTTTGATCATGCTCCCTCCATGCACCCTACCCTCCTGTTTTTCCCTCTTCCCCTCCTATTAGTCCCCATAATTCCTCCAGACAATTTCACTTTC